ATAAACCGGGAAGCCAACCATTGTATGAAAAGGTTCAAGGGGAAAATGAAAATAGACCAGCATATATTCAAGTCCTTTTATTTCATCTCTATATACTCAGGGTGCATATCGTAAAATCACACAAGTCATTTTTATGAATTCTCGCTTCCAAGCCAGGTCTTCACCAGGACAAGCATTGTTTTGGTTCATCCTTAAATCGAAGAGAGAAACGTCACTAATGGAGAGAATTTTTTCCAGGTGTCATAATTACATGTATTCACATCGCTTAATCAAGTCGAAGATTTTTATAAATGAATGTAATAAACAGATTTATACAGCGCCAAATTCACTAATTGTCCATGGTGTTCTACATTAAGATTATTGAAAAACTGAAAGAAAGGGAGAAAAGGAAAAAAAAAATATATATATATGTATACGAATAGACTAATTTAAAAATTATAAGATAATTAAACATATTTATCATCAAAAAAAAAAATAAAATAAACAGGGTTACGACCTTGTTCAAAAAGATACGTTTTTAAACGTCTTTTAAAACTGTCAATTGAAGAACTAGATCTTATTCCAAGTGGGATCGAGTTTCATAGTCCTGGTGCCGCCACAGGAAACGTTCTCTCTCCACAAGTCTTTAGTCTCGCTTTCGGGGTCGCCAGAGGGTATTGAACAGAGGACCTTAGTGTCCCTTTAGAGGTGCAATAATTAAGAAAGTCGCATATGTAGCCGGGCACTGCTCCATTGATAGCTTTGTAGATCAGTGAAAGAATTATATAAACTATACAGTGACGGACAGGAAGCCAGTGGATCTCCTTTAGGATAGGGGTCATGTGATCAAATTTCCTAGTACGTGTAACAATTCGAGCTGCACTATTTTAAACGGATTGCAATCTTGTAAGCAGACGCTGAGGTAGACCATATAGTAGTGAGTTGCAGCTATCTAATATTGAAGTAATAAATGCGTGAACAACAATTTTCTTCTTCAATGTACTTTCTAATTTTGGCGACTACTCAAACATACAAACCATACACTGCAACGCACGTTTTTTCGTACCCATTATCGCCATAACCCCATTTGAACAAGTCCTCGCTGTACCAGATTTGGAATTCTTGGTTCGTCTCCACCGTCAGAGGGGTAGACAAATTATCAAAAAGCAGTTGTGGCGATTCGGTTGTGGCCCAAGGCAGGCTGTAAAACTTGCAGTCCCGATAATCTGATAGGAAATTACTCTTTGGGAGAAGAAGATTACGGTTTTTGTCAGTTATCAACGTGGCCATTTGGTTGGGAATGAGACGGTTCCAAAGGCATCCCCATTTGGAGTGAAAACTTGACTTTCGTGCATCACAGGTGACGTAACCAGATCTGTACGTTAATTTGAATGTAATGATGTTACCGGCTTTGGAAGTTCTAAAGAAACCATACGAATCATCTCTTGCTCCAAAGCAAACTGTAGATGGCGTCATCTGTATCCATCTTACTGTTGGGAAAAGAACCAGCACATATATGATGAATTGATTTTGAACAAAAGAATGTGAGTTAGGTAAAAAGAACACACGGCAGGACAGCCAGCCGCTTAGTCAGACAGATGGATAGGAAAGCAGGATGGACAAAAGGGGATTCAGACATCTGGAGGAGCAGACGGAAGAGTGGTTGGCTGAATAGGACTGACAGTTGGATTCATCGAAAGATAACTTAAAGGGTGAGGTAGAGTTTTTCATAAAAGTATTTCACCAAATGAAAAATGTTTTTTTACCTACCGTTTCTTTCCTCGCAATTGGTGCCCTTGTATTCAGGTGGACAAAGGCATCTGTAACCTTTGTCTGTAAATCCTGTCTGACAAGTGCCATTATGTTGGCATGGAGTCTGTCCACAAGTGTTCTAATGTGAAAACGAGGTTTAAAAGCAGATATATGCCAATCGAAGTGGTAAGTTGTAATGGTACTATAAAATGAAAACTGAAACGTCACATGAGATCAGATCAACTGACCAACCAGCCAGGCAACAAATCAACCATACAAACCAATTGGAAACAAACATTGCGCAGCCAGCCAAACAACATGTCAGCGAATCAACTTAACATCGAACATTTACGAGCTAAACAACCCAAGGTTGAGCCAACTTTATATACTAATCTACCAAATGACAAGTAATGTTATTCAAAAATCACCAAACCCAGGATAAACGAAAAGCACAGATAAGAATGATGAATATTTACAGATAAGAATGTACTCACCATTGTTCCTTTATATATGTAGTTTGTCCAAGACTTGAGATCCTGAGGATGTACGTTGTGTGTGGAATTATTTAGTTCGCATTTTGTGATCACTGAAGATCCGCTGGTCACTAATTCGTTATAACTGACGCAGTTGGGTTCCATGTAGCATAGAGCTGAGCAGAAGTCTTGCACAGGGGATTCTACGGTTCGTATCAAGTGGTTTATGAACCGTTTGCCAGGGAAAGCAAGAGAAGATGTAAATTCCATCTTGCGACAGAAATCTTTTGGAAATTGAATCGGATTTGATTAGTACCATTTACGGTTTAGTCTAGACAGGTAAAGAACCAGTTTCGTTTTTGAGGGACTGAGCAAAGCCAATGGAGTAATGAAACTTACGAGTTGTATAACAACATTCCAACATTGATTTTTATTATAAGAAGCCAGTCTGAGTTAAAATATCTGAAATTTTTTGTTTTGGCTGCGAGGGCTTTTTGATATCCTTGAGTTATTGATCTCACTAGTTAGTTCAATTCATGTGGATGAGACATAAATTCCACACTTGCCCTAAACTTTAAACTTTTTCTTAACTACTCGTAGAGAGAGAGACTCCCTCAGGGTGATTAGCGTAAAAAGAAGAGGAAGAAGAGAAGACCGATGAAGAGTCTTGTTGCCTCTCGATAGCGGGGAGTTTTGTCACCCACTAGTTTCTCCGGTCCTTGCATTGTAACAGAAATAACCGGGAGTCCGTTTTAATTTTAATCATACAGTAGGAAGACCTGCATTTTTTATGCGTGGGCTGCGATTGGCAACTTAGAATTTGGGTTGTTTTAACAACACTAAACAGAAAAAAATGTGTTGTCATTATTAAACAAAAATCAACACGTCGGCCTTAGGCTGATCGTTCATGTGACATAAAAATTTTTCCAGCAATTATCTTAGAATTTTGATAAATAGGTTTAGGCTGGATGGTTTCAAGTCTAGTTAGCTATATAACCTTTATATCTAAGGGAAAAACTGAAAATAACGAATATGAAATTGAATGTGCGTCTGACTTAGTTGAACTGTAATTATTTTATGTCAGCTCGGAGGAAATGAGAGTATAACTCACCTTCTTCACCCGCAACTTTGATTATCAATAAAGACAACAGGGCGACCAAGAAGTAAAATTTTCTGGAAGAAGCCATGGTAAAGACTAAATTGAGCGGCTGCGTAGGATAATCGCTGATGACTTCTGAAAAGATTTTTATCCCTATTTACTTCTTTTGTATGCAAAGAGTTCTAATCACACATTAAGGAGATGTGGATTTTCTTTGCGACTTTGTGCTTTGCAGGGCTGCGATAGGCTCAGAATTTAGCTTAGGCGGCACTCGATCTGATTAAGGTAAATAAAACTATTGAAAATGTGTCAATTAATATAAGCTCGATCGATTGAACAGCATGCGAAATATTCCGCTACTGAGATAATTGTGAACGGAGTTATTATTGCGCCTCTAGGTTTCAAACATTTTTGACCACATGATGATCGACTAAAGGAACAGGTGTAATGGTTATTCCCAGAGGATCAAAATATTATTTTTTTTTACCCTTCCTTTGCCGTCACTGAAGCCGGTGGACATGGAATAAAGGATGTGGCTTGAAGTAATTAATGAGGTGTCTGAAAAAGGAGCAGGTTTAAAGCTTGTTCTCCGCACGTCAAGTTTAAATCGAGAAAAAAGTTCCATGCTTTTGTTGATGCCCTGTTACTAAGATGAGAACGTCATTTTATTTGTGGACACAGAATTCTTATTCATATACTTTATTTCCAAATTCTGAGAACTTTATTAACCTTCAGTAGTTCGAGATTATTAATTGCCTTTGCAGATGAAAAGAAAATCAGAAGCAACGTCAATTACTTCACCGTTAGTTCATTTCTCTAAACTTATGAGAAAGTTATCTTTCACAAACAAAGATCTGGTCTTTCATTTGAACTATTATTTCGGCGTCTATTTTAGAGAATCAATAGCAGTCTTTATTCATACAAGAGTGTTACTTGAAGTAAATAAATGTTTTCTTTTTGTTGGCTGTTAAGCCTCCTTGACTCTGTTCAAAGCTTTTTACGCGTGAATGAAACGTTTTGGCTCACTTTTGATGGCTTGGAATTTAGTTCCTGCAGCACAGCAGCTTAACTTTGTTGCGAGTTGTAACCGCTGGCTAAAGAAGAGAAGATCAATAGTTCCCTTAAAATGTCAAGTGTAAACGAGCGCCAGGTAACTTGAATCGTGAAAACATCTAAACTCAGCCATAATTGTGTTAATCAAATACGAACTTTTTGATTTGTTCAAACCTCTCACTCTGATTGCGCGCCTCTTAAAATGCTATGAGTCTGAAACCCATTATTATCATTAATTATTATATACTCAACAAAATATCGCGTTTCTGACTGGTTAATGATGAATGCATAAATAGGTTATAGAGTGCAATAGAGGTTATAGAGTGCAATACGGAGAAGTTGCCATGGAAACACCGGGGAAGCGCCAAATTTGAACACCAAATTATAAAAAAATGGCTGACAGCCGGTTTGCTTTGTCAAACCAAAACATCGTTGAGCAACTTAAAGAAAATGCGAAAAACAAAAACATGTTGAAAGCTACATAGACCTGGTTAAATGTCTGGCAAACATGGGCGACTCAACGAAAAGTAAACCCAAAAATGGAAGAATACGAGCACGAACAACTCGATAAAATGTTGCAAATCTTCTACACAGAAATACGCACAAAAGACGGGTGTGAGTACGAACCTGAGAGTTTAAAATCCATGCTGGCAGCCCTCGACCGCTATTTAAAAGAGCATGACTACAAGTACTCTATTATACGAGACCGAGAGATTCACCAGTCGAAGTTGGTACTCGAAGGAAAAGTGAAGTGTCAACAAGGAAAAGGCAAGAGACCCAACGCCGCGAACGCACTGACAGCCGAAGAAGAAAAAATGCTATGGAGTGAACAAAGTCTCGGCGACTTCATTCCAAGAGTTCTTTCCCAGACGATGTGGTGGATCTTGACTCAACATTTTGGCCTGAGGGGAAGACAGGAACACCATTCAATGGAAGTCGAGGACTTCAGTTTTTGTGCGGACGACAGCGGCACAGAGTACGTCACATTTAAAGAAAATTCTACAAAGACGAGGCAGGGAGGACTGAACACAAAACATCGTAGTGTTCTGCCAAAAATGTTCGCTACTGGCGGTCAGAGATGTCCTGTTGAGTTACTGAAGCAATACCTTAGTAGGCGTCCTCAAGAGCTGCGCGACAAAGGTCCTTTTTACCTTGCCATAATCGAAAATCCCAAAACAAATGTTTGGTACAAGAAGCAGCGGCTCGGCGTAAACAGCATCGACAATATGATGAAGAGCGTCGTCAAGAACACAGCTCTGGAAACAAGCAAGAAGAAATTTACTAACCACACCACAAGGAAGACAGTTGTGAAGAAACTCAGAGCAGCAAGCGTCGAGAGGCAGTCGATAATCCAGGTGACCGGCCACGCAAGTGAAAAGTCTCTTAACGACTACGATGAAGGTAGCGAGAAGGAACAGCGACAGCTTTCAAACATTATCAGCAATGCTCCACAGTCAGCAGCCTCCAGCAGTTTTCCTGGTCTACCAATGTGTTCTTCTCCTGCAACGACTTCAACGTGTGAACAGGTGAAAACAAGCGGCCATGCTTTCACTGTGAACAACTTTCACAACTGTCAAGTCACATTTAACGTGATTCAGGGGCAATGCAGTTCACCAAAGTCTACAAGTCAGAATGTTATTCCCTGAGGCCGATTGAGATCAAACATTTGAAAACAGTTTAGCGGGCTTAAGTACTCTTGCCGCTTTTAATAACTGAAATTTAGCTTTTGAGTTCGGCTTGTAATATTTTCTGAGAAACTTTCAAGAACTTCACGCTTGAATTACCTGTCACAACATTACATTTTTGATTGGTTCAAATAAAACATGTGAGCATTTTGGAACCCATTGAAGTGTTTTTGTAGTACGTAAGGCGTGCAGAGTAGCGCGATGGAGTAATTTTGTCGAGAATCTAATAAATAAAAAATCGTATGAACCTGCTCGTGCATCTCGTGATTTATGGTCACTCGTGATGTTTTTAAAGTTCTCAAATTGCACTCGCCTACGGCTCGTGCAATTTTGAGAACTTTCAAAACATCACTCGTGCCCATAAATCACGAAATGCACTCGCGTTCATACGATTTCCTATACTTATTTTGGGTTATAGATGCACGTAGATCTTCCTCAGCTCAAAGATTATGGAGGATTAAGTCAGTGGAGGCGAGAGTGATATGTTTATCATCAGTCACATATTTACGCGTGGTTCTTCTCGCAAAGATGTCTGAACGGCTACATAGACTCGTTCATAGACGTACCTTAAAAAAATAAAACAAAACTAAGGGAAACAAACAAAAGCCGAAGACGTCGCTGCCAAATTTGTAAAGGTCAGCGCTGGAAATTTACATTTAAAAGAAATATTCTACGGTTCTAGATGCCATGCCATGATGTTTTTCGTAAATCGTCTAGTAACACTTGTCAAATGTTTTAATCGTGCCAAAGCGGACCAACCTTGGGACTTCACCATTTCACATTATAGGATGGTCACCAAACTTAAAATAATGGAAGTAATGATTATGATGAGAAATAAAATTTGTTAATTTCGTGATAGGCGTCTATCTAGATAGCGATTCATGAGTCCTCTTTTCTCGTGGAGTTCTATTCCTCAAAGTCAGTCTGTACCACAGTGGCGCAGATCACAAGTACATAGTGGCTGAAGAAGTTTTGTAGATATGGTAGGATTGATAGTTTATACTTTAATCTGATCGGTAGCAACAGCCTATACTTTTGTGTGTAAAGCAGACCTTCCTGTCAACTTCCCCATCTTCCATTGCGGGATTAGCACCACTTAACCCTTTAACCCCAAAGATCTGATCGTTAATTCTCCCTTCAAGGTGCTTCACATTTCCTTATGAATTAGCTTTGGGGGTTTAATGTTAAATCGGGGGAACAACTTTTTCCTGATAATTGTGGGTATTCTCATTACCTATTTCCTAGATAATGAATGGATTTTGTTTGGAGAAGTAACAGGTTAATCGCCTCTAGGAGTCATAGGGTTAAACAGCCTGGGTTGGCTTTACCACATTTATAACTATCCACGCAGGTTGTTGGAGTTCTAGTTCCTACAGCTGTCACGAAACGGTACCATCCCTCGGATAGTTGTGTGTCACGGAACACTGGACCATTTAGCGGTGTATCGTCCGTGGTATTTCTTTTGTGATCACTCTGTTTCATAACACGGATCGGCTACACATTTAAGTCTTGATTTTAAAATACGTACTTGTGATAAAAATGTTTTTAACGTTTTTTAAGTCTGATAGTTTTACCCGGGATACGTTGATAACAAGTGTGTCGTCAAAGGTATTTGTTTTTTCGTCACCCTGTTTCATAACACGGATCGGCTACAAATTTAAGTATTAATTTTAAAATAATTGTAATTATTGCAATTAAGAATTAATGTTTTAGACGTTTTCTAAGTCTGATAGTTTATTATTGCCCGGGACATGTTGATAACAAGTTAATTGCATCGTTTAATTTTGTGTCAGAGATACCAGTTGTTTGAGATTTCTTGAAAAGATCTTTCCTATCAAATAATTGACTAAGGGCCTGTTTTACATGGAGGTGGGGGACTCCAGGTAGGTGAGGTAACCCGCCTAGCCGTGGTCGAAAAATAAAACGCCTTTACATGCAATCTTACAACCCCAGGGTGCTGGGGTGAGGTTTCTTGAGGTTGTTGTTGTGCTTGCAATTAAGGAATTTGAGCAGAGGCGTCCCAAGCTCACATCCCGAATAAGACGAAAGATTAATTCTCGGACACATATGTATTTATCCCTGAAAGCGTCACGCGTTGTGTTACGCGGTGTTTGGTTTCGCGAGGAGCCGTTGACTTAATAAGTTATACGGAATAGTTTGGGAAACCAAAATAGTCGATTTACATCGCTAAATATTCCGAAATGTGTACATTTTACACTTTTGTGTGTCCGTTGCGGTTTCTGGTGATTTCTGCCGTGAGACGGCTAGGAAATAAACAGAGTTTTAAAACATACATGTTTCGCTTTTGAGCTTCTTGCCATGAACGCGACCCCGGTTAGGCGGGTTAACCCACCTTGACACGTTTACATGGCAAATTGTCACCCCGGCTGACCGGGCTACTCTACCTGGCAGACCGGGCAACCCACCCAGGCGGGTCACCCCACCTATCATGTAAACGTGATCAAAATAAAATAAGAAATTTTATGGTCAGGCGGGTTACCTCACCTAGGCGGGTTACCTTACCTACCTGGGGTCCTCCACCTCCATGTATTACAATGTATTACGCAACGTTTTAGGACAACTCGGCGTCTAATAGACGCCGAGTTGTCCTAAAACGTTGCGTAAACGTGATCGGTCGTAACGCTTGCACGCTTGCGTGACTTACAAAGTAGACAAAGGTGATCGGAAGGCGCCTTCTCGATAATTTACGTTGAAATTTCAGGTCATGAACTATGCAGTGTGGAGAAGATCAAAATTAAAGAATAAAATTTGGCACTCTGGTCATAACAGACATATTGCGTCGCTAAAAAGGACACAAAAACAAGTTAAAATAGGTTGCAGTGTTTATATTTACAAAACAACACGCATACACTCCGAAACAATTCTTGCAATTTCTCCCGAGATTTAGTATAAAGGAACCCGATGAACTAACCCTCTTTCTGCAAATTTGTTTCCGTCATTAATGATGTTACGCTCTTATGGACCACAACAGTTTTGAGCGACAAACTCGACATTTCCCTGTGACCATCATAATCAACTGGACAAACCCAGCTTGATGTATTGCGTGACGTGATTGTGCAAACTTTTCTCTTAGTCTTACGACCTGCTTCGCAGGTTCTACGAGTTAAAACCAAACTTAGTTAATGTAACGAATTGGAATCGAAAGTTATTCAAATGGACTGAAGAATTTTACATTTTAATGAGAATTTTATCGTTTAAATGTTTGCTTGATTCACGGAAAGCAAAGATTGGAGTGGCTTTGGGTATTTCAGCCCTGATTTGGAAAAAAATAAAACAGTTGGTGGTATGTTCTAAACACCAGAACACCTTAAAGGACACTGGAAATGTAGTAAAAGTATTTTTTAGCATCCAGAGCAAAAAGAAGAATGTGAGGCAGTGAAAGGAGACTGAGTTTTCAACGCCATTTGTCGTAAAAGTTGCCACCAGCTTGTTATTGAACTCACTAAAAATTTACCTGGAAGGCATTAACTTTTTTTGTCGCGAAACTTATAGACTTTGAAACGACTTCCGATGAATCCTGAAACTGGAGTTTGAGTCCATTGGTAAACTATGCCAGCTGGTATCATGAGCAGATTAAGCTCTAACGAAATTTGACAGTTTTGAAGTTTTAAGCGGATGCAAAAATCGAGACAAAAATTTGTCATGACACAATTTGTCCTTTGATTTTGTCAAGAGAATTCTGGTTTTGTCTGCTATTGCAGATAGCCCAGGTAGGCACTTACGAACCAATTTTTAGTTAGGTAATAGCCTTCACTCTCGAGAAATTGCAAATATATTACTCATGTGATACGAGTACAACTTAAGTTCCGAAAACTTTAATCCAGTCAGTCTGGCTTTCTTTTACTGCCTCACATTTTCCCTTGTGCTGTGGCTGTTAACAAGTACCTCCACCACATTTCTAATGTTTCTTAAAGTGTTCAGATGTTTAGAACATACCAATAACTGTTATATCTTTTTCCATATCGTGGTCAAACTGACCGGAATGAAACAAAATTAACTTGTAATCGAGGATTTCGCTGGATAGCTGGTAGTACTTCAAATAACTCGATACGTCGTCCCAGGAGAGAAATCAGGGCTTAAATATCCAAAGCCACTCCAATCTTTGCTTTCCATGAATCAAGTAAACCTTTTTAAAAGTTAAAATTCTCATTAAAATGTAATTCAGTCCATTTTAATAACTTTTGATTCTAATTTGTTACACTAACTAATTTTGGTTTCAATTTGTAGAACCCGCGAAACAGGCCATATGGCAAGGGGAAAAATTTGCACAATCACGTCACGCAATATATCAAGCTGGGTTTGTCCAGTTGATTATGATGGTCGCAGGGAAATGTCGAGTTTGTCGCTCAAAACCGTTGTGGTCCATAAGAGCGTAACATCATTAGTGATGGAAACAAATCTGCGGAAAGGAGGGTTAGTTCATCGGGTTCCGTATACTAAATCTCGGAAGAATCTGCAAGAATTATTTCAGAGTGTATGCGTGTTGTTTTGTAAATATAAACACTGCAACCTATTTTAACTTGTTTTTGTGTCTTTTCAAGCAACGCAATATGTCTGTTATGACCAGAGTGCCAAATTTTATTCTTTAATTTTAATCTTCTCCACACTGTGCATAATTCATGACCTGATATTTCAACGTAAATTATCGAGAAGGCGCCTTCCGATCACCTTTGTCTACTTTGTAAGTCACGCAAGCGTGCAAGCGTTACGACCGATAACTTTTACGCAACGTTTTAGGACAACTCGGCGTCTAATATCCATTCAGTTGCTGTGAAAACCTAAAATCCTCAACGTAGAAGATAAACGAACGAAGTCTGAACTGTCAAAAGGAGATCTTGGTCAATTCCAAGAATCATGCAAATGATCTTTGACACGAGTGCAATTGAGCAAACACATGGATTTGCGTTGTTTTTAAGAAGTTGGTGGATGGAAGCTAGAGATATACCCGCGGGTTTGAGGCAATTCGTGACCTCATTGGTGTATAAACTATGCACTGATATGCTTTTTCGGCCCGATTAACGCCTGCATTTTGAGGATTCTTTCGTACAAAGTAGTGAATTT